ACACATGCACGTTCTCGTTGTGGCGTGCGACTATCCTGGTATCACCTATATGTTTAATACTATCGTCTAATTATCATAAGTGGGGAGTTTCCCGCCATTCAGTCACGTGTTACATCAGAACTGTAGGGCTAAATGTCGCGTCCTGACTACTGAAGAATGAACGTAAGGTGACATCACGGATCGCTGGACTCACAATATGAGGATTAAAACCTAGATAATGTTTGAATGTTTTGGTGACATTTCTTCATTTTTTTTATGTAAATAACGTTCTTAATTTGATTTGAAACCTTACCCGCATGATTTAGTTCATTGTGAGGTGACATAATGTTCCTTGTAGATAGTAGCGGCTGTGGAAATCTTGATGTCTATGTTAAATTACACTTTATACACTGGCAATATTACTGAGACGTAGCTGGGGACCATGTTCCATGTTATTGCGTTCTATTAGACTGCACCTCATTCCTGAAAATTCGTTGAGCATAACGTGCTGATGGTTTGATTGCTACGTGACGACGATGTGGGCGACATGCCAAGCATAATAAATACGCCATGTCAACATTTTTAGAAAAAAATTGTCTATGTCTATATATGTCTATGTTAAATTACAATTTTTACTCTGGCAATATTACTGAAACTTATTCACATGCAGTGGTAGCTGGGGACCATGTTCCATGTTATTGCGTTCTATTAGACTGCACCTCATTCCTGAAAATTCCTTGAGCGGAACGTGTTAATGTTTGATGATGTTTGTTGGTGAGTTTTACAAACTAAACGTGAACACGTCTAGTGCGCGTGACAGATGTTATGTCATCACGTGACCATATACAATAATAATAGGAATGACAATGCCCCTTGGTGAGAGAAGACCTAGTGAGTCAAATTGTGCGTGTTATTATCATCATCGTCGAGAACAGACGCATTTTGAACCCAAGATATTGTGTTGAGCAATGAAGAACGTTGCACTGCAAATCACCACCACATCATTATCATCACCACAAATACTAATTCCTAAGAAGTAATTTGAGTTTTGGAACGTTGCAAAACAGGTGGTTCAGTAGACCCCATCCCACCCATCGCTTAACATCCGTATTTCCACGACAAACATTAGAACGAGAAAGCCGGCCAGCCAAGGTTCGCCACTACTTGGTTTGTTCGCTCGTGTTAATTCTTGGTACTATATATGGAGCTCTTAATTGCAGAGTTGTGTTTAACAAAAACTCGAAATATCTTGCCAAGTGTATTCATAAGTGGTATGTGGATATTTTTATATTGATCGAGACTTGAATAAGTATCACGGAACATTATAAAATACACTGTGATGAGTGTTTACTCTGGCAACACACAGGACAATGAGTACTCTGCCGTGAACACAAGACTCTTTCACCAAACTTAAACAAGTGGTAGAGTACTGATAAATATACTGGATCGATTCCCGCATTGCCTACAAATGAACATTATTCGGTGGTTTGTTTTTGCCATGAAGCACAGCAAGGACACTGATTGGCTGATTGACTGATTGGCAGTTTGAATGAAATCCGTTATTTCCAGCTCAATAAATATTTCGATTATCAACTTTATCATCTTGTTAAACTTCAATTTCAAAATGAATGTATACCCATCTCGCAGAATAGTATCAAAGTTAAAACACAATTCAGTAAAGTAATATGTCTCATCAAAATAGAGCGTATCTAATATTGTCTGTGAATATTAAAGCGGGAAGGTCGGCACCTGCGCACGCGCGAGAATTGAGTTCCAAGCGACGAAAACAACACCCGCTAAAACGCTAAGGTTCATGGGTAGACGCGTGTTTGTAAACAGCGACACGCTATGGCCATCTGACGCATGCGCAGGTGACGATTCCTCCGCTTTAGCCAATGCATTTTTCGTTAGTCATAATAGAACCTTCTATATTTATGCATTGTTGGGTCAACATCATATCGAGTAACATGCGAGTAACAATGTAACTTATAATGAACTTTGTATGTATAAATTTTTTGGGAGTTAAAAATACGCCACCCTTCTTTCAGTAATAAGATTCTCGGTATGGAGAGGATATTTTATATAGGTCATTTTTGTCGATTTAAACTCTTGTTATTCTACTCTCGTGCAACTTCATTAGAACATCAACAGTGAATTTAATTTGTTTCAAGTAACTCACAAGTATTGCATGGCCCAGTCACAATGCAATACATACTAGGCTTGATGCATGCGTGTTAATTGTCGTGTAAAAAGTGTTTTGATTGGACGTTGACAGTATTGTCCGGTCCAGCTATTATCGTACATTGGTTTTACAACGCAGCTACTTCGAGAAAATTGTTAAGATTAGTTGTTTTTGAACATGAAAACAGGATGATATTATATCATGTCGTAAACGTATGTAGCCGTCGTATGCGTAGTCCTTTCCTCACTTTTTAACCCAATATGTTGACTGTCGACAGTCGTCGTAATAGTAATCTTTTAGTATTAATAAATTGTGTATAAAAGTAATAGGAGTGAATAAATTTGCGAGCGCCGTGACAGGGATTATGGAGTGCTGTTAGGCACGACCTACTGTCCGGTTCTGCAATTCACTGGTAAGATTTTTTACCAGATCCAGGTACTTTCATATGCAAATGATAGTCGTGCAAATGTTTATCATTTTACCGTGGCCAATCGTGAAAAGGGTCAGAGAGAGCTTACTACGAGGATCGCCCACGACTTACGCGAAGTTTGTTTTGACTGTACTATGCGCGATCGCGTCACTTTCATCAGCGGTTTTTGATATCATGAAACAAACAAATATTGACGAATGCAATAAAAAAAGTGCTGGAACGTTTAGACTACCATGATATTTCTTGCAAACAATACCAGCGAGACACTATCGCAAACGACACAGAGGGGAGAGATGTGTTCGTCAGCGTGCCGTGTTGACATTCGTATTGTCAAAAAGAACTCGTTTCGACGAAACCAGGGATCCCCCACTTTCAGTTGTCGGTCTCTTAGAGGAAAATGCCTGCGACCTTTCCAATAACTGTCGCTTTGTTTGTTTAAATTTCTTCCTGAACTCATCCATGTTTTTATGCAGAGTCGACGCTCTCAGTCCGCATTTTCAGTTGGAGTGACTGCATTCATTGTGTTCATACTAACGTCAACAGCTAAAACATTCTAGGGGTCATTTAGAATAAATTTGCATACATTATGTTAATATATTTATTTCGAATATTTCATATCAACTAGAAACCTGCAGACGGGGACAGTCTCTCGGGACTTATGTTCCTCGCGTGAAATGGTTTGCATTTCCTGTCAAACGCCCTCGGCGTTCGAATGTCTAGGAAACACAATTACATTAGGCGCGAGGACTGTCGACAGTCTACCCAATATGTTACAACATCTCTAGTTTGTGTTTTTATTTTTTCGCAATTGGCGCATTATTACAGTAGTAAACTTCTTAGGGGTTATTTTATGACAAAAACTGCAGCGTTATAAGAACCGCTCGTTTAGTGGGCAAAACAAATATGTCATATAAGTCTAACACACCAATTTATACACTGGTTATGCATTTCGTGCCGTCTAGAGTTTAAAGTTTGTTGTATGTTTTAAATAATCTAACAACAGTTTGTTCCAGCGATATACTTCATTCAGAAAACTTCGCTAATTGGACTCATTACAAAAACAATATTTTTTAGATTTTAAAACGTTTAATCGATTGTAGTACTTATGCGATGCGATTGAAGTTCCTCCGAGAATATTTCGTATTATTGCCATAGGTTACCTTCAACCTCTTATGAATTCCGTTGCTATGACTATAAATGTACGAATGAACTTGTCATGTCACCCTTTCAATCAATTACACGTTTGAGGCTGAAGTTCGTGAACATGCAACTATATCTCAAATAACAGCATTTTAACTACTACGGGTGGACATAGTTTTTTTTTATCCTAATTATTCAGATTTAATGACTGAATATTATAAAATAGTGAAAAACGTGATCCTCGAGTATTTTAGGTTCAAAAATAAGGCATGAGAAAAACTATTTTGAAGAATTACCGTCTGCTATGGTTGGCTCGTGAAACCGGGAGTATTAAAACCTTACACCATGTGCGTTCTTGCTAAAAAAAAAGAATAGGCCCCTAGGGCTGGTAGCACATTGCTAAACCATACCCCCTATTGCGGGCGCACTGTAAATGTAGTACCCCCTAGAGCAGACATATTGCAGAAAAGAAAACACCCCCTATTGCAGACATATATTGAGAACATCCTACTCTTATTGCGGGCATTCTCTGCCGTTTTTTTTTTCACTCATGCAAGTGGGGTGTGATCAACTCAAACAAACTATGGCCTAGGGTGGTGTCTGGGAGTGGTTGTTGCAAGAGGGTCCTACAGCGTGCACAGCAATCATGTGAGTTTATTCCTGGAGGCCTATTGCAGACATTAGAATTTTAAAGGGGGCATATTTGCCTCCCGCGCGGGCCCGCTTTAGAAGGTGAAAAACACCCCTTTTCCCCGCTAAATTTGGAACTCACATGGGGTAGTAACGGTATATAGAGTGACCCCTCCCCCGGGAGTATTGTTGATCCTCAAAACGCAATCGAGCGTACGGCGCTGAACGGCGTCTGTATTTTGTTTTAAATTATGCTACGTGTGTCCATTATCGATGTATCTAGTTCATGGGCCGGTTCATTTAACAGCGGTTTCAAGTACTACGTCTCGGGTAATGTATATAATTTGAACATGCTTTTGATGCTATTTCTGTATCATTACCTGCAATATGAAGGTGGTACATTGTAGGAATAACCACCACAGGGCCAGATTATAACACTCGATTTGAACAAATTTATCTCATACACACACTCACTATCGCTCGTGTCATGTCGTGAAACTGGTCTAAATCTCGTGGTACGCCTGCCCTAGGGGTGGTTTTTCTACAATTAACCACCACCCACCATATATTGTTACGTTCTCGAACCTGTCCTCGCGTATTCAAATCGTATATCCAATTGATATTATTCTTTTGTTATAGGGCAGCTCAATGGAAACTCCGTCTTTCGACACAGTATCACAGGGGTCTGACTTGTCTACTGGGAGCGGGCAATCCGCCACCTCAACGGATCCCATCTATCAATATGGAACACCAGATGGAAAAATTGAAACACGGCGTTTCTCTCACCCTGCATTCAGTAGAGGGAAACAATATGCACTGAAACGAAATCGATCTATCCGGACTCGTGCTAAAGTATGGGGTCTTGGATTAGTGGTTACTTTAGTAACTCTGGGCATTGCATCCGGCGTAACGTTCTACATTATAAGTAAGTGTACTGTACTGATAATATTATTATTCCGTAGAAAAAAAGACATGTGCTATTTGCATGGCATGGCATAGGATGTTCACAAGGAATTAATTGCTTTTAAATAACATTACTTTCGGACTGATCACTTCATAGTAACAAGTGACGCTGAAGGATTCAATAAAAGTAATACGTCTCTCGTGTGAAATACTGTATTTCTTTTGACGAAATTCGAAGACACACTGTGCCGCAGTGGTGTCATAATGAACCAGTGCAATTCAATGCAAATTCAATTAAAATATATTGAAATTGATTAAAATTGTGTCTCGTTTGCATCTGCACCTTTTCACTTGCATTCGCATGAACAATTAAAAGTAAATGTCTGTAAGGATCAAACAATGGTGGCAGGGGTCAAAAAATCGATTTGCCTCATATTTGGCACAGTGGTAGTGCTTGGTCCAAAACCCCTCAAAATAGCTTTCTTTTAGGTCGAAACTCCATGTTGCCACGGTAACGGGCAAACAAAGTTTTCTGACCATTTTCCCTAATTTTTGTATCTCAAAAACACGGAATTCACGGCATTGTCTCTGCCACACCTTTGAATTTATCGTCAAAACAAAACAAGATCTTAATAGACCAACATTTTTGCTTTTTGAAAATTGTTGTGGAAGTTTGAAAGAGATAGACTTCAGTTCTTGGGCAGCCTGAAAACAATGCTATGTTTCGAGCCTCTAAAAAATGTAATTTTTTGCCCAATTTTGTAATGCTATAAGTGCCGCTCTGGTATCTTTTGGCACTTGAAATTTGTACTATGCATAGATAATTAAAATGTCTCTCAAATAATAACTTGCAAAATTTGATAACTTGTTTGGTTTTTACGTGGTCACTGCGCAGTCCGAAGAAGGCTGTCAGGTTTAGCCACAAGCAAAAGGAGTATCTTGATAAGCGGTTTCTTCTTGGACAAGCTACTGGACGAAAGTCAGACCCCATTACTGTGTCCAAAGGGATGAGGCATGCGCGTGATGCACAAGGCCAACGGCTATTCCAGGTGCAGGATTTTTTGACTGACCAGCAAGTCTCTAGCTATTTCTCCCGACTGGCAGCTAAACGCCGTGAAGCTTCAGAAGATTCTAAGGAGAAGCAACAGGACCCTGCCGTAACCGAATCCTCCAACAGTCACATACAGGAGGAAATCATCACCAACGTCGAACTATGTCACGCTGTATGATACATTCAACCTTTTTGACTTGGCAAAGAGGGGAGGCCTGTATGAGATTGGCATAGTCCAATAAGGTCCATCTGCGAGCACTTTGATGTTGACGTATCCTCCATCACTGACCGTCGACGCAAGTCAGCATTTGTTGCAAAACTTCGAGAGTACTTGAGTCCCTGCCCTTGCTCAACACGGTAGACATCACATGGTTTGTGTAAAACTAGAGTGTACTAAGACGTAGACGTTTGTCTGTGTACCTTTTAATAAGCACATTTTCAACATTAACAGTGTTAACTTAAAGTTTAGTTAAGCGCCGACTCTGTTATAAGTGTAAATATCAATTTGAAATAAAGAAACTAAGATAATGTTTTAAATTCAGCTATGTTCTATAATACATATCAAAAAAACACTAACACGAGAACAAAAGTTCCTAACATTCAGTTGATACACAATTTCTAAATATGGGCTATGTTCAGAGACCTTCCGGGACTAAACGTCACTCCCTAAAACTCTACGAGCATTTCTTGATAGGCAACACATAGATGACTGGCTTAAGAAGAAGTTGAGTTAGAATCCTGATTTGTCAGGTACAGTTGCATACTTTTAACATGGCTAAAATTCACAATTTTCGTCGAACACAAAAAGTGACCTGCTTTCAGGGATAACCAAGTGACTGAACATCATGACCCGCAACTCCACAAGCATTTATTTGATATACAATACATAGATGTACATTTGACCGGAAGTTGAATAAGAATTATTGTTTACTTCGTCAGGCAGCGTACTTTGAAAATTCACAATGCAAAAAGTGCCCTACTTTCAGGGACAACCACGTGACTTAACGTTATGACCCAAAACTCTATAAGCATTTATTTAATAGACAATACATAGATGTACATTTGACCGGAAGTTGAATAAAAATTATTGTTCACTTTGCGTACGTTGAACAAAGCTAAAATTCACAATTTTCATCAAATGCAAAAAATGCCCTACTTTCAGGGACAACCAAGTGGCTGAAAGTCATGACCCGAAACTCTACAACTATTCATTTGATAGACAATACATAGATGTACATTTGACCGGAAGTTGAATAAACATTATTGTTCACTTTGTCACGTAGCATACGTTCAACAAAGCTAAAATTCCCAATTTTCGTCAAATGCAAAAAATTGCCTACTTTCAGGGGAAACCACGTGACCGAACGTCATTACCCGAAAATCAGCAAGCATTCACTTGATAGGCAATACATACATTCACCTTTGATAATTAGAAATATATTTTACTTCGTCATGTAGCATACTTTGAACATGGCTAAAATTTTCGCCAAACACTTTTGTGGCCTACTTTAAGGGACAGTCACGTGACAACCAAACAAGGTACCACATTTTGCAACAATGCATTTAATATATATTCTAATGATCTATATATGGTATAAGTTTCAAGTCAAAAAAAATACCAGAGCGGCACTTATAGCATTACAAAAGTTATTTTTTTTGAAGCTTGAAACATCTAATTGTTTTCAGGCCGCCCAAGAACTAAAATGTACGTCTTTAGAAATTTTACAACAATTTTGAAAAAGCCAAAATGTTGGTCTATTCAGATCTAGTTTTGTTTTTATGATAGGTTTAAAGGTGTCGCTGAGACAGCGCCGTAAAATATGCTGAATTCCGTGTTTTTGAGATGCGAAAATTGGGGAAAATGGCCAGAAAACTTTGTTTGCCCGTTACCATGGCAACAAGGAGTTTTGATCTGAAAGAAATCTATTTTGAGGGGTTGTGGACCAAGTACTACCACTGTGCAAAATTTGAGCCAAATCGATTTCTGAGCCCTGCCACCATTGTTTGATCCTTACAGACATTTGCTCTTAATACTTCTATGCAATATACCAAAGTTAAAATTGGCGTTCTTGTCGATTCTCGTGTATCATGCCAACAAAAAAAAATTGTATTATTTTGTATCATATCCGAGTCTTCAGAGAAACAGATTAATTCATCCTCAACTGAACATGGACAACATTTATCTGAAATAAAGTTAACACACTTCAGAATTACAATTCAACCTACACATAAATGTACCCAGGACACAATTATTACCCACACTACTAGAACTTCACAAGTTAACGTCACATTTATTTTACTATAGCACAATTTCAGCGTAACGATGGCACCATGTTTGTAAAAACAGGACAGTACAGCCATGGCCATTGAGGGCATACCGCACTAGATCGAGCACTAAATAAAAACAAATGACCGATATATACAAATTTGAGGGCGCCATTCAAATTGACTCAGTTTTACGATTTTTTCGGCCCAACAACACTAGTTCACGATAGATGTTACCAACAGCTTAGAGACATGTATGCAGGAATGTGCTAACATTCAGTAAATATGTGTTGAGGCTTACAAGTTGTCAGGCAAAGTCGGAAATAATTAATTGTTCTTTTGTATTTTAGCGTGATCGCGAAAACTAACCTCACCGCTAAAAAAATCCCGACTGGACGCATCTGCGGGCATTTGACTATTATTAATTATTCATGTTCATTGATTATTCATAAGTGGGTGTGTGAAAGTAAACATGACCTTTTAAAGGTTGATTCGATTCGATCCCGGAGATGAATACTTTAACATTCTAAATGCAAAAGCGATACTTTCATCCATGTTTACTGAAAACAAGTCGATTTAAATGTTCAATATATATAGGTAGTCTTTCAAAATCGCCGGGACCTCAGACGTTAAAGGTCACGTACAGTAACATAGATATTATTATGACGTATACAGCTGCACTCTGATTCGTTGTCAATGCTAGTCAACAACTTTTAATTAGCATAAACACTGGAGTGATTCCGCTCCGGTTTTCAATGCGCAAGTCGGGATTTCTATCACAGTCACGCTAGTTTTCGCGAACACGTTAAAAAGGCTAAATTGATAATTAATTATATTTTTTTTTTGTAAAACAAAAAATAAGTCCTGACTTTGCTATTCTAGCTTACAACGAGCACATTTCAAGATCAAAGTTCCCACATAGTGAATAATCAAATACTAAATTGATAATCAATAATTGTTTGTTTTCCTGCGTCACACCCATGTGGCGATGAACTCCTTATGTTGCTCTATTTTATATGACATAATTTGTTTGCAGATATGCAGAATAAATCGACGCCCACTTCGTCGGTAGGCGTCACAAATGATGAAGGAGACAAAGAGGAGGTACATCGACTAAGGACTTCTACTCCTGGGTTACAGGCACTGTCCTCACAACGACTGAGTTCAACGACAAAGGTGGAGACTACCACAGCAAGTATACAGAAAACAACGACGACAAACGTAGTACATAGTACCGAACTCCCCGAAACAAACCATCCAACTCCATCTGCTCGCTCGTTTCCTTTGCCAGCAACTGACGTATCGTTGGGCGCGTCCCCATCGTCTTTTAGGTCAACGTCACCCGTCAGTCAAACGTCGCCGGATATATCGATGTCGTCTACTATAGCTCGACAACTACCCATTGACACAACACAAGATTCTGCACCTATAACAACAGTGTCTGGAAACGATAAAGACAACGAAGAACGCGAAGACAGGCCAAGTAGGTGAATTATTATTATTTTGATAAATTGACATTAGTAGTGTTGTTAAATTCATTGCCATTATATTATGGTATTAATGCATATTGAGGTTATTAGTTTATCCACCGTCCCTCAACAGGGTGAGGGACGGTGGTTTATCCATCAAGTTGTGTATACATTTGTGCATATTTCGGTACTAATAACGTTCTCATGTTTAGTGGTTGCATGATTTATATCGCTTATATTGGCGTAGGGTTTAAATGTTGTTGTTGATATGGTTTTATCTGTCGGCTTATCTGTAAAAATTCAGTAAAAGATGATTAGGAGTATTTGAGGTCATTTGTATTGGGAAAAAAAATCTGCAACGAAACCATGTTTCGATAATTTCGTATTTCAAATGGGTTAAAGGTAACGTCTGCTATTTTTAGTGGGCACGGAAAGCTTCTGCCCCTGTTCTTGTGTCCTCTCTTTTGTTTCGTTATTGTGCATGAACCCGGGAGGGGGGCAGAAAAAAATGTTGGGGGCCGCCCCCAATCAATCTGAAAGCTTTTGTGTCACCAATATTCGCCCCCTCAAAACGCAGGAAAAACGCTTCAGAGGGTCGAAATTTTAAATCTCGCTCCTCATGCAAAATGTCGTGCCGTCGCCTCTGGTGGTATTGGTGGCAGATGTATTTACGTTTTATATTTAGTGGCTTTGAAAACGATCATTTTTTGTTTGCAAAAATATACCTCTTTTTGGTTTATTTTACGTTTTTATCTTTTTTTTTCTTTTTTAATAGCGAGATTCTGATTAAATTGAACCAATCTTTGGCGATTTTCAGATTCTATTAATTTTTTTTAGATTCTGTTATCAAGAATGTACCAATGTGTGTTCATCGATTTGTGAGATAACTGATAATTCCCACGAAATTATTCAGCAATTTAGAGCATATTTTTAATATTCATTAATTATTGTACCGTTTGAATACTTTTTTATCAAAGTATATTTATCAATTCACGTACAGGAATTTAAAGTAAACTTTGTGAAACTCGTATTGTATTAAAGGGATACAAAAGCATAGCTTTAAATGGCCCGTTTAAAAAAATCTGAAAAATGAATAAACGAAAGAAGCGCTCACATGGCCGTTTTCCCGTGGGCGCTACAGCAAACTGTGACGTAATTTCTGAACCACACTTTAGTTACGCTATTCGAGTATACGTTTGCGTCTCTACTTTTCTGAACCGCCATGAACACACAATGTGCAGTTGACTCCAACAATGACTCAAGAGAAAACTCGAGAACGGTTAGATGTTATTCATTTACCAGTGACAAAGACATAAGATGCAGATGGTTAAGTGAAATTGGCAAATAAAATAATCTCACATTATCACACATGTAATCACGCACCAAATATTATTATCATGTTTTTACGAGAATACTACAATATTATGCAGATTGGTGGTACGCTGATCATAATAACCGACGAGTAAATACAGTACAATCGTATAAACTTACAATCGACTGTAGAGGCAAATAAATTAATGTATATATTACATTTCTTTTATCAAAACCTCCACCTCCTATCTAGTGCCAGTAGTTCATACGGCGTTTTACTGATGGTTAAATTATGTTGTTTTCTCTGCCAGAAAACATTTTCACTAATTTGAATCGAACATGGTGCTTTTGTGAATACATTGAATTCGCCGCACTTCTATCATAAAATATAGTAGGAGCTCCTAATATCCTTCTATGATTCTATGTGCTTGACTTTACACATGAAATTATTCGTGCTGTAGTTGGTGTATTGGGCTCGTATTATACACAGTGAGCATACTTTCACATATCTTTGATTGGTACAACAATGCGGTTTGAACGTTGTATTGCGTGTCTCGTGGTCCGCAACTATTCTATTACAAGTACTAGTACTCTCAAAAAAGAACGCGAATGCAAGTTGTTTTCGTGGTAATTTGCCACCTCTCTGTTTTCTATTTATTAAGCAACTTATCGATATACAACGAACGAACAAGTGAAAAAAGAAATACTGGTTACAAAATTATAAGATGTTCAATACGGGAAAGCGTTGTTTTCAAAGAAGATGTAGCCAGGTTTGTCTGGCACCCTGTCATCGTTTAAATTATATCAGTCTATTACTGCATCTAGACCACCATCCCTGTAAACTAATCCTGCATTTTATTTTGCTTGTAGTTCTGAAGTCTACGTGTATACATGTAATAGCAATGTACATGGTATATCTTTCTCGCTATTCGTAACAAATAATACGATAATTGTTTTTTTTCACAGCAACAAGTACTAGAAGTACGCGAGTCAAAACAGGTTTTAGCACACCTTGGGTGCAAATGGTTATTTCTCTCGACGTCAATTCTTTGGTCAACTGAATTGCATAGATATATTTAGTAGAAAAAATGTTGACGGTAATTCATTTGAGTAACTGAAAACGTTCACTAATTCAATAATTATTGTTTGAAAATGATCTTGCCTGTCCAGAATGGAAGCAACATGTAGCGAAAGATAAACGTGACTGATAACAGCCATGATAAGAAAACAGAAAAATCTAATCCTGATATTTCTTGGCAACAAATGCACTCCAGTACAGTTGGTATCAGTTTTCCATAGAAACAAGCGCTTTGTGGATAGCAGATACTGTCCCGGGATAGTGTCAGCGTATACGTGTGATAACGCAACTGTTTAGAAATGACGTCACAGTTTAGCCCTCTACGGCCAGATCTCGCCATTGAGAGCAGCGGTTTGCCATCAACCTAATAACCCATTTTCAAACCCATGTTATGAAGGAATAACAGATACATATGACCTATTTTTTAATTATACTTTATCCAGAGGCATCAGCGAGCATGAGTATAACATACAATCCTAGAGTTGTGTCCCCCTTTAATAGACATGACACTGGACAACACAATTTATTGAGAACGTACTTGTCTGGATTACCCAGTGGATAATGTGTAACTGGGGTTTTGGGTGATACATCATCACTTATTACTTCTTAATGACGAAACAATAACATTTCACGTATTCCTATTTTCAGAGTCTGGACCACAGGTCGATCCTTTTCGACAGAATATTACTGCATCGGAGGGCGATACAGTTGATTTGGAATGCGTAATATCAGGTGTAACGGATTCACATTTTTTGTCGTGGGTACGCTTTTGGGGGCTATGGGACCGAGACCCTGACGTCATTTCTTTTAATGATCAACTAGTCGTCGACGGTAGTGATCCAAACATACCAAACAGTCCGCCAAGGTATTTTCTCACTCGCACGTCTACTAGGTACTCTATCAGAATACAGCCCGTTGATTTAACAGATGAAGGAAAATGGGAATGTTCGATTATCGGAACTGATCAAAAAGAAGCTGTCTGGCTGTCTATGCATTGTGAGTACAATCAATACAGTGTAATACTTTTTGAAGTCTGCAATGCTATTTTTGATTTCATTGCAGCTGCGATATAGGTACTTTTTCCGCACATTGTTCATGTTTGTATTTGTGTTTGATTGTTTGGTCGTTCGTTATTCAGAATATAATGAATCTCGCGATATGAAAATGTTGTTTATGAGCAATCACAAATCAAAACAATGTCGACAAAGTAAGTTTTACTCATTTAACTACTCAGACAGTATGCATATATTAAATGTTAATTCATCCGATTTGAGTAGACAAAATATCCTGGCAGACGTCTATTGGTGTACAAAGTTGCTACTTGACCAATGCAGATTAATTCCAATGTAGTGTTACACATTTAACTGCACAGTATGCATCTAACAAGTGGTAATTAATCCGAGCAAACAACTGTTAGGATATCAACGAAACGTGCTAAAAGTCGTTTATTGGTGTACAAATGTGATAATTAGCATATTCAGATTAATATATTCACTAATTTACCTGACAGACAGTATGCCAATCAGTATGCCAATTGACCAATCTGAACAACTCGTTAAGATGACAGTTGAAACTAGTTATTTTGATTCACGCATATGCTAAATAACCTATGCAAATTAATTCGAAAGTAGTCACTCATTTAACTACACAGATATTATGCATCTACAATACTTAATTTGAGCGAGCTGTTGAAATGTTAGAGTGGAAACAAAACATGTTGAATGCTGTTTATCTGTGTACAAATTAGGAAATTAACATATGCAGATTGATCCCAAAATACATTTTCTCATTTAACTACAAATACACGCACCATGTGTTAACACATTTGAGGAAACTGCTGCTAGGATATCAACAAAACATTCTGAATGTCATCTGTTGGTGACAAATTGAACTAATTAAACATATGTGAATTAATTTCACCAAAGTTATAGTTGATCGTTTAAATACACGGTCAGCATGAATGTAAAAAGTGTCAATCAATTCGAGCAAACTGTTGTTAGAATAACAACAAAACGTACTTAAAGTCGTTTATTGGTGCACAAAAAAAACTTATTAAAATATGTAAATGAATTCTGATATAGTGTTAATCATTTTCCTACACAGCAAATATGCATCTACCACTAGGTACTAAATTGAGTAAGCTGTTGTTTAAACAGTCTATTTGAACAGCTGTTTACAGGATATCAACTAAACATGATGAAAGCAGTTTATTGTTGTACATATAAGCTAATTCGAATATGTATATTATTTCCAAAGTAGTGTACTGTTAGACATCTAACTACAACCTCAATTTACCGTGTTTTATTCGATTTTTGATAACTCTACTTGTTGTTAGGATATATGCAAAACAATATGAGGGTATTTATATATATATGTTCAGTAGCATTCTATGGTATGTGTGTAACAAGTAATCAAAACGATATATCAAATCAAATACGTTATTCCGTTAATACGTTAATAACGTTTACAAGGTTTTATAGTTAATGGTTAATATCGGGACCATTATTGACATACATGTTTTCAGCTTCTGATTGTGACTAAATGACTAGAAATAGACACAGGAAAGAATATATTTTTGGAAACGCCAGACTTCATGCTTTTCAAAGGTGTGTTTGCCATGCCAGTATCTGCATCTACAGTGTGTTACTTAATCAAAAGTGAAAAAAAACTTTTTTTGTAAAAAAAATAATTACGCATTTATCTTGGTGATAGGAATTTTTTTTCACTTTTCCTAGTTGTTCAATAGTTTGGTAAATTGAATGTGTCTGGTCAGTTTTATTCAAGCAACGCGTTTTGAAAAGTAGTGTCCTGAATTTTAATTTCTGTTTAGTCGCATTGCCCCAAATCAAACCACAACACATTGATATATAATCGATGAAATAGTTTTTCTGGACAGATTCAAGTTCCTCTCACTGTCACCTTAAAGCTGTGAAAATTTGGTGTTATTCCGACGACAATAAGTATTCGTTATTTTTGTTAAAGACATTGTATTTTGAAAAATATAAACTCCAAGAAAACGTCCATGAAGTCACAGCAAAGATTGTCAAGCTTGTTTATCGGCACAATCGTTTTGTTTTCCCGTCAAGGTCTGTTTTAACATGTGTAGGGTCATCCAAATGTGTAAGGCTAATGGAAACCAAAAAATAAAGGAATGGGATAGCTATAATTCGATAAAATCGGCATATGAAAACACCAAAATCAATGATTTTTTTCAGTGGCATTGTGACCTTGTGTCAGACACATTAATATGCAAATGACTAATCTGTGAAATAAACAGGGGCAGAGACAAACCACTCAAATGTTTGGAAACACTCATTGTGTGTCAGATAGCTACTGATAACACATCCTAACATTGCTTTGTCTTGAGTTTATCTTTGGAACTTATAGGCTCTGGCTTCCAATGTTATTACAATGACCAGCGTGTTCCTATTTGTGAACATTTGGGCTACTGCGTCCACTGAAAAAGTGGAAGTTTTCAAATGTCACATGAATGACCTGGCACTTACGCACTTCTTGTTTGTGATAAGTTTGTAAAGAACAATTAGAACATTGGAAAGAGTGCTGAAATATTTTAGGAAGGCAAATACGGCTTTTTACAGAAAGATAAATTATATAGTTTCTGTGCTAGATGTATACTGATATATTTTTCCAACATAGCTCCTGGTTACACAGAGTATTCTACTTTGACGAGTACTCACTGCCCTGAATTCCAGTGTTACTACAGCAACGAATGCTTCCCTTGGTCATATGTATGCGACTATTATACTGATTGTAACGACGGAACCGATGAATCTAACTGTTATTCCAGTAAGTACGGAGTGGGACCTACATCGTGCTATGCTTCATTGCATTCAATGTTATATCAATTTGATGTAATAATGTACTATATTATTTAAACACAGCAACATATTTCCATGGTATACTACTGTCGACTGTTTTAGATTTCAATGTATGTACAATAATATTTTGTTTCAACAATGTATATTTCATCCCCAGCAATAAGTTACCTATGGGAAATGAGTACCAGTTGCCCTGGTTTACAATGTGATACACAAAGGTGTATACCTTTAAACTGGGTATGTGATGGAGAATATGACTGTCAAAATGGAACTGATGAATTAAACTGTACTTCATGTATCAACAAATAGTAATAATTAATTAATAAGAATTAATTAATAAGAATATTAGTTTACAGAATTGGAATACTTGTAAATTGTAATAATATCTTAACGAAATTTCAGAAAAGAATACATAGAGACAGTACTTCAACCGATGCGACCCTGTTATGTCTGTATGAATACGCTGTTGTATTCTGACGATTACCTTATTATTGTACATATGTCTATGTTTGTAATTATTAATTCAATGAAAGAAAAGGCCAACAAATTCAATCGAAAATAATATTTAGTTTTTGCGAATAGTCGGGCTAGTGTACCCGATGACAAATGGGAAGTGTTCAAATGTGACGTTAATCACATTGAACGCGTTCAATGTTCGTGATAAAGTTAACTCTGTATAATAACAAATTACAACGTTGGAAAGAGTGCTGATTATTGAAAAAGAATTGCGGAAACGACTTGTTACTGAAGGGT